ACTAGTCACCACTAAGATGATCCATATGTCCTTCATCCTCACTCTCGACTTCAACTTCTTCCTCATTGTCCACTACAACTTCTTTCTGCACTCCACCATCTCTCTCCACTTCCACTCCACCATCTTTGTCAAGCTCTAGTCCATCATCCACCTCCTCTCCACCATCTTTGTCTACCCCAGTCCATCATCCACCTCCTCTCCAGCAATTTGTTCCACCTCCACTCCACCATCCACCTCCTCTCCACCATTACTTTCCACCTCTAGTCCATCATCCATCTCCTCTCGACCATTAATTTCCAGCTCCACTCCACCCTTGATATTCATCTCAACTACACCCTCTATATTCACCCCCACCTCCAATCTGTCATTTGTCCTCATCAACTCACCATCATTAACCAACTTACCCTGACTAACCAACTCACCCTCAATTACCAACTGCACCCCTATTTCACCATATTCAATTGCTCCTTCTTTAACCTCCTTTTGTACTTCAACCTTGTCCATATTTCCTTCATCACCAACCTCAACATGTGGGAAACCTCTAACCTCACTACCTCACCACTCGAAGTAGGTACTTCAGCTTCACAAAGAAAATAAATTTGGTTCACATAATCTTCTACAACCTCTACATGGTGCACGCCTTGTACAACATAAAAGTCAACTTTTTCTAAAAAGTTTGCCACCTTCATCATATTCATTGCTCCTCTATCATCATATAATATAACTCTTTCACTTGAAGGTACCCCTGATCTTTTAGGACACCTAGAATTTTAAAAAAAACTCCATTTATCGGGATCAACGTCCCAATAAGCAATTTCTCCATCTATATACTTAAAAGGGGAATTGTTTTTATCAAGGTCCCACCGTGGTGGACCACTACCTCAAACATTTCCCCAGACATCTCAATCCCTACAACTCAAATGCAAACGGGGACCACTAAATTTACTTAAACTAACAACTATGGGACCAATATCAGCCCTAAAAGCCGACAATCTTGATCACTGTCTTCAACCACCCAAGAAGTGACAATTATAATCATATTTAAAACACAATAGACAACACATTACAAAACAATTCAACATACAATATTTAACTAACAAATTTATACCCCCAAAATCATCCTCAATCGAAAAAAATAGGTATATTTAATATAAAATTAAATTAAACCCTAACCTCTAAATACAACAACAACAACATCAAGTAAGTAGGCTTAGATTATGACTATTTACCTCACGTACGTACGTTATTCCAATTTCACCTTTAAGGAATCACCAACCAACACTTATTATAACACCTCCTCCACCACATTGATGAACCCAGAAATGGCGATATCAATCTTAGATAACTTAAACTTACCTTACGTCATTTAAATTTTTTAAAAAAATTTACACAGTGAACTATATTATACATGCCACGTATTCATCAAACTGCACAGGTCACTCAGTTTTGGCCACGATGACATTTGCACCATTATGTTTTTAACACCGTGAGCCAAAAGTACCTTATTGAACATTTTTTTAACGAAATATGAGATCTTAGTGAACTTTTTTAAAAGATATGATCACTTTGAATCAAACCCCAAAAAATAAAGATCAAATGATGTATTAAATCAAAATTATAACTATTTTAAAATTATTTTCTAAGTTCTCATATATATATATATATATATATATATATATATATATATATATATATATATATATATATTGTGAGAGAGTGAGCGAATTTATTTTTATTTAAACTAATTTAACTTTATTGTCTAACATTTTTCTTCAAAGAGTTGGAATATACTACTTATGATTATTCAATTATCGTTGCCGCGCACATACGGTAGTAAATACAAATCATATTATTAGACGTATAGGTAATGTTTCTTTTCTAATTTATTACGAAACTATTTTACGTGATTGTAATTGATGTAAAAGAACCAAATTTATACTGTAGAAGGATCTGAACTATAAACGTGAATCAATTTGGTGAGATGTGCATATAGTTCATCCAATTATAGTTAAAATTAATCTTTTTACATTTCTTTTGAAATTAAAATTAATCATTTACATTTCTTTGGAAGATAAACTATTAAATTTATTCTCGTGTTTGATTTTTGTAAGCAAATGTAAAGGAAATGATATTGTTAAACATCTACATGATAATTTCTTTTTAAATTTATTACTGAAGTTATTTTAACTTTCTCTAAATAATTTGTTTCGATGCAGGAAATCAAATTCACAATTAGCTATTTTCAGTAGATGTTATGAGATTATTAACTATTGTTTTATGTTTGAAACAAATTTAGTATGCGATGCATTTTATTTAGAGAATTGAATAAATTTAATAATTCGTACTCGAAAGGTGGAAAATTTTTATTATTTTTCAATTTTTTAAAGTACAACGCTTCCACAAATGTTCTATTTATGTTTAATTTAATATTAGGGTTAGGGTTCGTTGAATTGTTCTTTTACAAAGTATTATTTACTTGCGGTTCTTGCTCTTGCAAAAGGTGGTGAAATTTCCCAATATTAAAGTTTCAAAATGTTAGCAACGCAACTTTAATTGCACATTTTTAATGTATTTTATATTTTCTATTGAATATGTAAATATAAATTTATTTTATATTTATATTCTAATTTTATTTTACTAACTCAGAAATCAATCACATTTTCTTCAACTCAAATTTACACATTTTTTATCGAAGTCAAATTCATATAATAAATATACTTTTATCAAAGTCTCACTTGTTGCACCGTACAGAAACTATGTCCATGAAGATTCATTAATGGAGGTTTTCTTCTAGTTTAAGAAAGAAGAATGCAGGGTACAATTCTTAGGAACGAACACATGTTTGAATCAACAAAATGATCAATTTGAATGCAACCAGGATTTAGATAACCTATTAGACAACATCGAATCCAAACCAAATGTGATTGACTTGCCACAGGGTTTTGAAAAAAATCATCACGTTTCAATACATACGTGACTTCAAACCTCGACTTATAATATATTTTTGTAAGTTTAAGTTATGTTTAAAATTTTCTTCTTTAAGATTAAATATCTTCTAAATCTTAACAACATAGTTTGTTTAGAAATCATCTCAAACTAAAATGAACCCACCTAACCCTAAACAGAAACAATGAATTTTGCTGATATGATGCTCTAAAACCAAGGAACAAAACAGAAAGTACAATCATTCACCAAAATACCGTAACTTCAGAATGTTCATATGGGGGGAGGTCACAAGCAAAACAACGGCTAAAGGAGAAAAACCCAACAAATAGTATATAAAAAAGGGGAGATGGAAACACACAAATCACGGAAGAGAGACAACCATTCAGTACCAAACATAGAATCCTAGGTAATAAAATATGGCATCTCAAATTGGTTTCAAGGGTATAGATATATCTTCAAATTTTATTCCATAAATGAAGTATGGAATTAGTCCCTAATCGCATCCATAAATGTGAAATTGGATTCAGAATTATTAGTTAAATTATTTGGTACATATCAATTATAATAAAACGGATGAATATTTTGTATTAATAACATATTAACTTGACAATCTCAAAATACCTGTATCAATTGTATAGAACTTAATGAAGTCTTAATTAATTGCCTATAAAAGTCTTAATTTGGTTTACTCGTTTTTATGATACAATACCATCTCTTATCAATCCTCTTGTCTTGGTATTAGATCCTGTACTCTCATGGGGCTCCAAGCCCTGGGCCATTGTAAACAAAACATAGTTAGGTCCATAGACACGTAATACTAATTTGTATTTAGGAATGTACAACCTCGAATACAAATTTGTATTCCGAATTGTACATTCCACAACATCTCCGGATTAAAAAATCTGGAACTAAGAGTAAAAATCCTAAACTAGAGGATAAATTTGGAGTTTTTTATGTTTATGAGGGTGCAGGTTGAAACTATGAAGGAGGTGCAGGAAGAAGTTGCCAATTTCTCAATAGTATCCTGTTCATCAAGGAGACCTCAATTACAAAACAGGTACACTTCCTAAGATCAAATGACATAGACCTAGCAGAACTAGGCTTTGAACTTCAAACCTGATAGTGTTTCACTAAAGTACTTGCCAAAACATGTCTAATATTTTTTTGTTTCTCCTTCTGGTGAGAAGGATTTGATGTGTTATTTACAAAGTTATGTTTGGTTTCAGTTTAGCATAACATGTCTGGTCTCAATTTTGTTCAGTTCATGTCTATTTTCCTTTTACAGAGCATTACAAGATTGTTTGCAGTATGGAGATTAATTAAGTAATCGTTTTTTCAATCTACTGGATTAAGAAGGAAATAGAACACTTCTAACCCAACAAGTTTCTTAATTATTAAATTTTTGTCTTGATCGCAAGAGTTCCCAAATATTTAAAGAACCTAATACCATCTATCTCACAACAATCATGCAATCTAGCTAGAATTCTTGATTAGGAGAAACAATGATAGCCGTGAGCTGAAACAAGCATATGAATATATATATATATATATATATATATATATATATATGAAACGATAATAAAGAGGAAATTCGTCTAATGTTTGGAGAAATCTCTCACACCCACCTGTGAGCTAATACTAATATTCACCCTTCCTGTCCGTTAACCCAACAAACTCATAACACATTTAGCAGAAAGCTAAAACCAAGATTTGTCTTCACTACCATAGTCCTACAGAAATTATCTAAACTTACATTCAAATTGTAGTTCTTTCAAACCAGACTTGGTTGACTATTAAGTATTAATTAGATAATAAACCACCATCACTTAGTGGTAAAATAAGACTGCTAATAAGCAACAATTTTACACCATACTACATATATTCAAGTAAACAAAAAACCATACCTAACTAATCCCACAACAGCATCAACCAAAGAAAAACATTATCGATACCATACGTAACTCGAGGGATAGAGAAGATATAAACCACAAATCAAAGATCAACATACTATTTATGCAAATGGAGGATTAAGATTTAAAGAGTAGCAAACAATAAAAATAAAAATATCTTTGCAATTTATCAAGAAAAACTAAAAACATTGTCAAAAGTAAAGAGAAAATACAAAACAAAGAATCAGCTGTTTTATCTGAATCCCAACATCTTCCCCTCTCTCTCTTCCCTCCCATAGAGTTTACCTTTCACGAAAGTCAAGATAGGGCACCCCATTCAAGATTTGCTTTAAAGGCAAACTCTGAACACTGCTTCCTGGCCTCTTCCCCATTAAAGGGGTCCGTGAACTAATTTGCTCAGAAAGAATCACACAGTTCGAAATTTTTGATTATAAATGTATTGTCTTCTAGTAAGTAGTAAGCAATCCCACCGCAAGAAATTTATCCTGGTGCTACATTACAACATCATATACAGCCAATTTAACACGGTAGTTAATTCTTTTAAGCCATAGATTCAATCTCAAGCACTAAGTGAAAGAAGAGAACTAAGAAACACAAACAACGTTTTTGCTCTCAATTCAATTGAAAAATCCTGTGCATGTGAATGCGACCATACCATAATAAACATGAAAGAAGCAAACGCCGGTGAATGTGAACTGAACTGAGCTGAGCTGAGCTACTCTTAAACCAGGATTTGATCAAATTCCTTATTTAAAGCAACAAATGAAACAGATCAACCACTACACACATAAACAAACAAACAAACAGACACCGAAAATCAGCACGCAAGGTATCATTGATTAGTCATCCACTGTTTTACACTATTCCATTACATCATAACAAAGAAAGAAACCAAACTTACAAATAATCCGCACATGCGCGTGTAGGGGTTGGTTACAGTCATACATCCAAATTCTCCATCTGAATGCTGCTCTTGAGAGGGACGTATTCCCCAAGGTACCCTCCGAGGTGATCGTGCAGCGCGCTCTTATCAATCCCCTGGTGATGGAAACTCTTGCAAACGTAGTAAAACACGCTCTGCACCAACAACCCAACCAAATTGACAATGACCAACAGCCCCACGAGGAACCCTCCAACGACGATCCTAGTGAAGACGCCGTAGACGTCCCCACCGTGGACGACGACGACACTGAAGATCCCAGAGATGATGCTGCAGACAATGAGGTAGGCAGCGACGAGAACGGCGGCGTACTTGGTCCTACCCTTGAGAAGGTGGTAGCTTTTCTTCATGGCGGCGAGGCCGTAGACGGGCTCGAGGACGGAGACGACGGAGGCGAGGTGCCAGAGGGCGGTGATGTAGACATGGGCGACGAGGAAGAGGGAAAGGATGATGAGGAGGGAGAGGAGGAGGAGGAGAGAGTTGTTGGTGTCGATGGCGACGATGATGAGGACGAGGGAGAGGAGGATGAGGGAGTTGTAGAGGATCATGAGGAGGGTGACCCAGAGGAAGGTGATGAAGAGGCGCTTGAAGACGCGTGGGATGGCGGAGATGGTGGAGGAGAAGGAGACAGGCTTGGCGGTGTAGAGGGATGCGACGGTGAAGACGACGGCGGCGGTGGAGAGGAGGGAGAATGCGAAGAGGAAGAGGAGGTAGGAGAACTGGATGAGGAGGAGGAGGGTCCACTGGTGGGAGGTCTGGGAGGGGTCGTTGAAGGGGTTCTGGAGCTGAACGATGAGAGGGTGGGTGAAGAGGGAGTGGGCGAGGATCGCGAAGGAGAGAGGGAAGATAAGGGTGAGCGTGATGAGGTAGAAGGTCTTCGGAGAACGCTTTGGAATTGAGGTCGATTCTCGCAGGATGTCGGGGATGTTCAGAAATTGAAGCTCCTCCGGTGCCAGATCCATCTTCTTCTCAGAATCACCAACAACAACAACTGCGTCTTCTTTCTTTCTTTCTTTCTCTCTTTCTTTCTCCCTTTCTTTCTATGGAGAGAAGAGACGGTGGGTGTTGTCTTGTGTGGGGGCTATCTTTTATTGTTTTCAGTAGACACGTTTTATGTTCAGCAACCAAAATCCAGATTTCCCTTCCCAAATTACAAATAACTATACCAGTTTCTTCGCCACTCACTCCTACTATTATATTTTCAATTATTACCATTAAATTTTCTTTTTTCTTATTTTATTATCAAATTTATATTCTGTTAAACTATTTTATTCATTGATGAAAGCAACTTCAAAGATCTTCTTTAATCATAATTTATTCTAAAGTTCAGTTTATCATATAAAAAACACTTCACATTATTAGAGAAGATATTTTATATAATTTTTATAAATGATTGAGAATAAATATTTTATAAGTTAATTTATAAACAAAATATATTTTCTATAATAATTTTAAAATAAAAATATATTTAATTTTTTTTTTAATTATCGTCGTTCCCGCTTATTAGATTTCTTTCTAAATAAGTCAAATTGAATTTAATGAACTTGGAAGACGTGTTTTTAACATAAAAATGTCAGTGGGAAGCGTGTTCAAAAGGATCCTGATTATATATACATTATTCTCTTTTGCTTAAACATTTAATTATATCTGGTTGGAAGTCCAGCAGTCAATTCAAAATTAAAAAACTAGTTTGTAATTAGAAATAGAAAAACTAATTGAAGTGTTTGGCAAAAATATGTATTAAAATAATTAAAAATGTAAATAACAAATATATATATATATATATATATATATAAATTTTTTTTTGGGTTAAATATGTTTTTAGTCCCTAAACTATTGGCCGTTTCTGGTTTTCGTCCCTCTTCCAAAGTAAGGTACAATTTGGTCCTCATCCTTTATAAAAACGTTAGTTTTAGTCCTCAAAATTTTGTTTTTAGTCCTCGTTTTAGTCCTCAAAACGTTCGTTTTTTCGACTAAAACGAACGTTTTTTAAAGATTGAGGACTAAATTGTACCTTACACGAAAACCGATCAATAGTTTAGGGACTAAAAACATATTTAACCCTTTTCTTTTTATTTATAATTATTAAATATGTTTGTAGTTATTAAATTTAATAGTTAATTTTTTTTAATAAAGATGTTAAGTTAAAATAACTATTTACATTCATTTCAAAATTTTACGTTTTGAAGATTTTATAATGGTTGTTTCTTAAATTATCTTTTAACTCTGAAATTATAAACACACTAAAAATATATTTAATATTTTAACTTATGGTTACGTAAGTTTTACCTTTTTATATTATTATTTTAGTTTTTTAGCCATTATATATATATATATATATAATATCTCAGTTTTGTACTTTTACCTTTAAAAGTTATGTAAGGACAACAAAAATTAAAATTAATAAATAAATCAATAATTTTAATATTTAATGTGGGTCTATAATAATTAAAGGAACACTAACATGTACTGTATGAAATATACGAAATTAATGATTATTCATGGATAATTATTAATGGACTTGATTGTCACAAACTTTATAAATAATACAAGTGATTCAGGTACAATCACCTTTTTTTATCCTAATAAAATATAGACTTTTTTATTCTTTATGAAACATATCTAACTTGAGATCTTCTACATGTCAACCATCCATTGGAGTGAATCACATTCTCGGAGAGGATTGAAGATAAAAAAAGAGCAAAGCAAGAAAGGACGACCGACCCTTAGACCAATTCAACCAAACAAATCATAAGAAAAAAAAATATGCCTTTGTACGGCACATATTCACATGTTTTATTTATGATTACTTGAGAAATTTGATTGACATATTTTATAAAGATTATGTCTCATATTTGAAGTAGTTGTTCAAATTCTTTATGACAAGTAAGTGAAATAAGTTCTAGTTAATGGTAAAAAGAAAACTTTGAATGTAGGGATTGTTCTTATTTTATCATAAGGTTTTGTCAGAGCAGTGCAACGTTGTACTAGTTCGGATCACACAATCCCACATCTAGTTGTTAATCTTAACTAAGAATTAACCTTTCACTCGCACAAATTAACAAGTTGTTACAATCACAAAGAAAATAAACAAGTTTGCTTGATTTTGGATTTCATTTATATTGTTTGGTACTTTTTTTATTTTAAATTCTCTTTGGAGTTTAAGGTCATTTTAGAATGAAATTTATTTAGATTTGAGTTAAAAAAAAGTAAGTTTTTTATATTTGAAAAAAAATTATAATTAAGTGAGGGAATGGGGCAACCCGTTTAACCCACCAACCCATGATGGGATCGAGTTCGAATCTTTTTGACTCACTAATAAATAAGTCGAATTAAGTTGACTCACGACGAACCCGTAATGAACTGGTCGTTTTGACAACACTATCCAATACCTTATAAAATTTTATTCTCATTATCCCCTTAAATTTAGTACATCAATTTTTAATTATTCATTGATTGCTCATTTTCTTTTACATAATTTTTTAATCTTTCATAACTTTGTTAATTTTTCAATAATTTTTGTTTATTTGAACATTAAGGTAAAAAGAATTAAAAGAAATTAAACTCATGGCAACAGTTCTAGGAATTATTGTCAAATGTAATTTGAGCATGAGTCAATATTTTAAAACAAAAAACATATAATTGAAAATTAAAGAATTTAAAATACGTAATTTTTTTAAAAACAAATATTAAGAACAATTAAAAAAAGTAAAAGAATAAATTGAAAAAAAATAGTAAAAAACTGTCAATTTTATAAAATATAAAGACTAAAATTTTAATTAAATATATTTTTCACGTTAGATTTTGGTCAGAGAAAAAATTTCATTATTGTCACCAACATCACCTATTATTAACCTATCGACTTTTGAAAGCAATGCATTTCTTTCTGAAAGAGATTTTATCATATTCTTATTGGACTTTTCTTTCAAGGAAAGTAACTAAAAGAAAATAAATAAATTTTTTGATCCCCCGTTTAAGCTTCAATAATTTTTTTTTCTATAGAATATTTCCAAACACTTCCAGATTAAAGATGAAGATTACATTTTTGGTTTTCACAAACTATTTTTGTTTTTGTTTTTTAAATTTTAAATGAAATAGTTGTAACTAAATATTATTTATTTTAGTTGTTTGTGAAGATGTATTTTTTTTAGCAAATCAATTAGTGGGCCGAAGAATTTGAGACAGCCCAAGTAAAATAAAGTTTACTATTACAATATATATAATATTAATATATCCTAACGGGTTCAGTAGAAATTGAGTGAGAGGCAAGCGCGGGCACAACAAGACTGCTACTTCTTTCATTACATCTTAAAATCTTAGGGTTCTTATTCTCAGCATAATCTTCATTTTCGCTTCCCTCGCTTCATTTCTTACTCTGCACTGTGAGTCTCTTTTATACTCTTTACTGAATTCCCCCTTCTCCATTCTGCTTTAATGTAACCGTGTTTTTGTTTTTTCTGGTTTTCCTTTAATTTTCAGCTTTCAATTGCAAAAGACTGGTTGCGATTGTCATTGTTGGGATTGCATTGAGAAGGATTAGGGTTAGGGTTGAAAGAGAGTGAGTGTGGATGGGGAAAGAGGAGGAAGAGATGAGGGGTGAGATTGAGGAGCGACTGATCAACGAGGAGTACAAGATATGGAAGAAGAATAGTCCTTTTCTGTATGATCTGGTGATTACGCATGCGCTTGAGTGGCCTTCCCTCACCGTGGAGTGGCTTCCCGACCGCCATGAACCAGCCGGCAAAGATTACTCGCTGCAGAAGGTTATATTGGGCACCCATACCTCTGAGAATGAGCCCAATTACCTCATGTTGGCCCAGGTCCAACTTCCCCTTGACGATGCTGAGAACGATGCCCGTCACTACGACGACGATCGCCCCGACATCGGCGGCTTTGGCTGTGCCAATGGCAAAGTTCAGATCATCCAGCAGATCAACCATGAGGGTGAGGTTAACAGGGCTCGCTACATGCCCCAGAACCCCTTCATCATTGCCACCAAGACTGTTAGTGCCGAAGTTTATGTCTTTGACTACAGCAAGCACCCCTCTAAGCCCCCTCTTGATGGGGCCTGTAACCCTGATTTGAGGCTCAGGGGTCACAACACTGAGGGTTATGGCTTGTCCTGGAGTAAGTTCAAGCAGGGGCACTTGCTTAGTGGTTCTGATGATGCTCAGATTTGTTTGTGGGATATTAATGCCACTCCCAAGAATAAGACCCTCGAGGCAATGCAGATATTTAAGGTTGGAACTGCTTCTCTTGCTGTGTTTTGGTTGAGTATGGTTAAGTTAATCAGTGATTTGGTAAACTGTGTATATGTTTATGTTGTTGTCACCAGGTACATGAAGGTGTTGTCGAAGATGTGGCTTGGCATTTGAGGCATGAGTACTTATTCGGTTCTGTGGGTGATGATCAATACTTGCTTATATGGGACCTTCGAACGCCGGCTGTCACCAAGCCTGTCCAATCTGTGGTTGCCCATCAAAGTGAGGTGTGTTGTATTGAAAAAAATAGATAATTCTGTCAAAATGAGTATAACCTGTGGGGATTAACTTGTATGTTTTATGATTTGCTTAATTTTTATACCAGCAAACTTTAGTGACAGAATTGGATTTTCCAGTATTTATTTGGTGGTATTTTCTAAAAGTATCACCATTCACTTTATTTGTTTGAAATATACAAATTCATGAGAATAGTTTGGCCTGATTCACTAATCACAGACATCAAATCTAAATGGTGTTGCCGATGGAACATCTGATGGTAATATTGAAATGAAAGACTTAACATGCTAAACACATTTTTAACTGGAAGATAAGATTATATAACTTGCATATTACTCCTCTCTCAAGTTTGCTGTTGATGCTATTTCAATTCTATGGCTTTTCTTTGCTTGCATCGAGGCTTTTTTAGCTCTTCTTTTCGTTCTGTCTGCTCGTGTAATGCTCTCTTATATTCGGTAGTTGCTTTTATCCTTTTAGCTCTGCTATGTTCCCTATGCTATGGTGGGTTTTCAATGTTTCAAAAATTCTAATATTCTTCTACTCTATATCACTTGCAAGTTACCTATTTTTTATCTTGGATGTCTTGTCAGGTTAACTGCTTGGCCTTCAATCCTTTTAACGAATG